CCAAGGAGATCTACCTAGGACGTATGTCACTTTGCAGATGTGTGGATCTCAACTTCTTCATGGGAAAGACTGTGAGGCCCAGTTTTTTCATCTGTAAAGTGAGGGAATTGGATCCATGATTTCTAAGCACTGTAACTCAATGCATTTTCTTTTTTTTTTTTTTACTCAATGCATTTTCATGTCTGTATCATGCCTATGTGATGTGGGTAACTCAGAGAGGGGAGCAAGGAACGTTTGTTGAATGAGTCATCACTATTTCATTATTTATATGCATTTCACTTCTGGCTTCTTCATTTCTTGTTCCTTATGCTGACCTCAATTTACTCTGTCAAACTGATGGAGGGAAGCTGGTCCTCACTTAATAGAGGTAGCTCTGAATCACTGAAATCATGCCCACGGAGCCTTCAAGGAGCTCAGAGCCTGTGCAGGAAAAGTGGCCTGGCAAAGCCAGAACGTCACATGCTGTGCCCCGTGCCAGGCACACTGGAGCTACAACAGGCCCTGTCACTGCAGAACCTCTGGGCTTCCGGGGGGACAGTGTGGCTAGCTGATGGCATGCTTGGCCTCATAGACACAAACTGAGGCAAAGAGGAAGGTTTGATCAGGAAGCCCCTACTTACAGCTCTGCAGTAAATTAAACTGCAAACTGTCTCTAGCAGCAGCGGGGATGGTGCCTCAGGTTATCTGGGTGGTGGCGGGGTGGTGTTTAGTTAAGCTCTAATACAGTCACCGCAGGAGACACAGTGATCTGTGGAACAGAGGACTGCCATGCCTTGTGGGAGCTCCCTGCAAAGAGAAAGGCTGTGATGGAGATGAGATATGGAAGAGAGGGAGGAAAGCCCCCGCGGGAGACGAGGTGACCTCACAGGTCTTGTCCATCCCTTTTATTTAAGATCTGTGGGCTGTGTGGCAGAGCTGGCCAGTCAAACATAGAGAAGCCTGAGGCAGTAATGGTGAAAGGGCGGGGGGAGGACCCCAATGGGTTGGAGGAAGCTTTACAAGTGACCCTCACTTTAACTAAACCCACTGTATGAAAATCTCTATATTTGAACCTGCTGGGATGGGAGTAGGTGATTTCTACTGCTCTCTTTCAAACTCCCAGGTTGGTTGGTAATTAATACCCTGCATAATGCTTTCTATCTCTGAGCCTCATGTTCAAACAACGTATGAGGTGGGTTCCTAGATTCTAGCATCTTTACCTTCTTTGCACTTAATTTTCTTTAATTTTCAAAATAACCACTGCTTCCCTGGACTGACTTGCCCATCCTGCATGTGACTCATTCAGTGGGATGTGTACCGAACTTTTTGAAACCCGCCTATTACAGAAAGCAAGGTGTAACTGCCCTGCTGGGCTGCTACAGCCCCAGCTCCAATCAGGAGTTTTTACATTCCATCACCAGGGTCTCTTTCATTCCTTTGAAGCAGATTCCCTGGTGACAGGATGATAGGTGTGAACTTGGTGGAATTGTTTGGAGTCTCAGGGCCATGCTCATATTTTTAAATTAGCAACGCAAATTAGCCTTAGCCCCCTAGCCAACAGAAAATAGTCTGTGACACTGAGTGGCATCTGGCTTGCGGTAGCCCACCATAGCCTCCAAAGTTCAAAGCTGTCTAATGCATCAAGCCCAGATAACTAGAAAGAGAAGGGGACTATCCAATTAGGATGACTGCTGACATTCAGCAGGCCACCTGAGAAGAGCCTGGGGACAGTGCTGCCACATGGTTGTGGCCTGACTTTGAAACACTGGAAAGATCCTGAGAGGCTGAGAGGCAGCCTGCTCAGCTGTGACTGGAAGAGGATAAAGCCAACAAAAAGTCGCACCTGTCACCATCACCTGTGTGCACGGTGGTGAATGTTCCACCCACCATCTCGTGGGGCACTCGGGAGTGACCCGTACAGTGACATTACTATCATTCTTGTCTTACAAATGAGGAAACTGAAGTATAAAGTGATTAAGCAGCCTGTCCACATTACACAGCTAATCAATGGAACAGGCAAAATTTAATCCCTGTTAGTCTGATTCTAAAACCCTTGATCCTAATTTTTATACCACACAGACAGCTCAAAGTAGGAATCTCACAGCTTTCTGTCCTTTTCCACCTGGGGATGCTGTGTTTTTCTTGAGTGTCTTCCCCTAATTCCTCCACTGACACCCGGTCCCTGTCCCCCTGTCCACTCCCCCATTTGTCAACAGCAATAACCTACCATCCATCCATCATTACCTCGCTTTGGGAGAGATGGAACCTGCCTACAAACTACTCAGGCAATGTTTAAAAACCCATTGTGGGAAAGCACTCAGATGAAAGGCATCAGGAGTGAAAGATCCAGAAGCTTTCTTTTCTAACAAATGTTAGTCATGTCTCCGACACACTGAGATGTAAAAGCTGAATGAGGGCTACTTGCTAATAAAATATTTGGCACCCCAAAGAAAGGCATTGAAAAGATGCCCAAAGCTCTGCAGCGTAGAATAAAGATATCAGTTTCCTTTACTCCCAATTCACCTGGCTTAATATTTTACCTGTATTGACTTTACCAAGCAGGCTGCCTGGATCACTGGGAGTGGAAATTTACATCTGCTAATGAAGCCATACACAGCAGGCAAATCTGCACTTTCAGTCCTGCCAGAGAAGCCTGTAGGCAGGGCTGACGGACTCAGTTCAAATGGACTCAGAACTGTTTAGAAGTCTGAACTCTCATCTAAGTTCTAAACAGAAATGTTGCAGACAGAGTTAGAAGATCCATTGAAAGTCGTTGCTGGTATATCTGATTTCGCTTGGAAGATCTCAGGAAATCGAATCTTTCATTCATTGCACTACAAATTAACCTCTATGGCAACTAGGATTTCTATCTCTTTCCTGCTGAACCATAATTCCCTAGAATCAAGTATAACAATCACTCAACAAATATTTATTGATTCAATGAGTTAATGAATACATGAACAACTATTTTGCTTCTTACTCCACCGTACCCACTTCTGGAGGTATCTGCCCATTGGCCCTGATGGCCTCACTAGCACTGTTCTGCACAATATGACCAATCTTCAGTCACAGCTACTGGACCAGAAATGGACTCTGTCCTCAAAGGTACTCCGCAGGCAATCTGGCTACACAGCAAAATGAGCTGGACCGATCAGGTTCTCTACCTCAGGGACTCAGAGTGAGAGGCTGTGGGAAACTGTCACTGATGTGTACTCTGAACAGAGACTGCAAGCTACCGGAGAGAATGGACTGTGTCGGTCCAGTAATCATATCAGAAATAAAGTAAGTCCTCCATAAAAGTCTATCAGTGAATAAAAAAGAGTTAATGGGGTCTGGGCAGCCAATATGAGACAAGGGCAAGAGAAAATAAGGAAACCAAACTCAAAAGAGGGAAGAGCTTAGCCCTAACAGGGCCAGAGCATTACAGCAGTTGTAAGCACAAGAGAGAGAGAGGCTGGTAGGTCTTGGGGTCATTACGTTCCTCCTCTTCTCCCTTTCCTGGGTCCTGACACTATCACTACCTGCTGTTACTCGGGCAGGATGAATGTACTTCTTTCCTCACAATTCTGACAGCCCAGGCTAGAACATTCCTGGGTCCTCATATGGAAGACCAGATGTCTGAATAAATAAGTAACTTGTTCTTTTGTTTTATTTTATTTGCTTTTGCCATTGAGTGCATTAAAAGTCCAAATGGGTTGGAATAGGAGAAGACAGGCACTCTTCCAAGTCTCAGGGAATAAACACTAGCTAGTCTGGGCTTAGACATTCTTGGTACAATTTGGATTGAGTGTCCCCTAAAGGCCATGTATTAAAGGCTTAGTTTCGGGCCTATCATGCTACTGGGAGGTGTGGAACCCTTAGAACGTGGACCTAGTAGAAGAAGGCTAGAGCATTCAGAAGCCGCCCTTGAAGGCCATAATGGGAACCCAACCCTTAGGGGTACACGGTTACTAAATTAGTCTACTGACTGAGTAAGCATAGTTCTGGGTGTGGATAATGGGAAGGCCCACCCTGGGTGTGGGTGGTACCACCCAAAAGTTGGGTAGCTTGGAACAGATAAAGACTCAAGTTTCTGACTCTGCTTGCTGTTGCTTTGCTATTTTGCTTCTTGCTGCCTTCTGCTTGCCATAAACTGTTTCTCCTCTGTGATGCTATTCTGCCATGCCACGCTGCCTTGGAGCTGGCCAACTGCGAACTGAAACCTCCACAAACTGCGAGCTAAATAAATCTTTCTTCCTTTAACTTTGGGAGTCAGGTGTTTTCCTTCAACAACAAGAAAAGAGTTAGACAGTAACTATGAGTCTTGGTTTCTTTTCAAAAGTGTTTGTAACGACATTTAATTTTCATTCTCTTGTAAAAAATAAATGCAATGCCCAGCATATAGTAAGGGTGCCCTATGTATGACTGAGGTGACCTAATGTATGTCTGTAATGCAGCAATTAATAGAGGATTTTCCTGTATTTTAAGTTATTTAAGTCTGACAACAATTTGCAAGATTTCCCAAGTAGTGCTTGGCATTCCTATTTTAAAATGAAGAAACTGAGACTCAGATATGATTAAGTAGCGACTCGTCCAAGGCTACAACTTACAGAACAAGCGGCTCAACTCTATCCTGAATCCCAAGTCTCAGTTTCCTCCCATAATGCTGCCCTCTGCACAAGAAAGCAAGACCAGCATTAGATGTGCAATGGCTCAGCTACCGCTGGGCTGGTGGTTCTTCTTTCTCAATCACACACAAGATTTCATTCAGGGATTTATGCACAAAATATCCAGGACATGAATGAATCAGTCTATGAAGGAATGAATGAGTAGAGAGATGAATAAATGAAATAATTAGTGTTCTGCCTTTATTCTATACATCATTCAAAACGAAAGCAGGAATCTCATACAGGCTGCACTCCTCAAAGGACCTCCTGGTGCATACTTTCCTCCTCCCCCAGGGATGTCTCTAGCAGAGGCCTGGCAATGGTGCAGCTCACACCACCAGCCAATCCTCTACCAGTCCTGTCCCTTCTACGTACTGGTTTCTGCAGTCTCGTACTCGCTGTCTCTGAGCAGCTCAAAGATGTCCACTTCGACCTTGGCCTTGCCCAGCCTCTCAGGAGCGCGGTTGATGCGGTTCTTGGCCAGGGTGATGGACAGCCTCTCCCCTCTGCTGCATTCCATGGGGTCGTCCAAGATAGCAGCTGTGGGCAGGCAACCACATGGAGACAATTGGTACACCACCTGCTACTGTTACTCTCCTCCTTCCCAAACCTCCCGCCAACTACCAGCTCCATTTCTAGGCAGATCCTTGAGTCTCTCCACCTCAGCACTATTCCAAAAGCAAGTGCTCCACAAGCTTCCAGGGCTCTGTTTGCAGGCAGGTAAATCTGAATGCAGATGTGAACCTCAGGAACTCTGTAATGTAATGGCAGCCCAGGGGGATCCTGTCTACATGAGGTCTCTGGGGCCCAGGCGCAGTGATACCCTTGGATGTGTGTTTATGTGTACACAGCGAGCCACACAGGTGCTACCCTTTGAAAATGGAATTTCAGGAATATAAAGAACCTCTTCCCAAGGTGAGAGAGTGCTAGAAGAAGTCAAGTCTGGGAGGGAGAGCTGCAAGGAAGTAAGGAACAGTGCAGGTTACTGCTGACCCTGGTGCCCCAGCCTCTGGTGCCCATGAACCATGTCACCCAGGTGAACCTGCACCTGCTCTGAACCTCTTTCTTCACTCAACATTAGGGATAGTAAGACTCCTTCACCTGGTTGGTGTGGGGGGATTCAATTAAGCAATAATGCAAGTAGGTGGCCCATCATCTGGACTTGATCAGAGTAGCAGTCTGTGTGGGCAGCTGGAACGGTACAGTACCAATGGCTGGCCAACCTCTGGAAGCAGTGCAGAGAATCAGTGTTACGGGGGCCCAGAAAGGCCCTTCCACTCCTTATTAGCTATGGGACCTCAGTTTCCTCATGAAAAATTGGGAGAAATGGGCTTCTGTGATGACTACAGGAATAACATGCTTAACATAGTATCCTGCACATAGCGAATAAATCTAGCAACTGAAATCCTTAATTCTTTTGGTCGGTTAAATTACAAAAACAAAAATCTACAAACAAAAATGTTTACTAACATCTATTGCTGCATTATCTGCATGTGGCAAAAGGTGGAAACAACGTCCACCAGCTGATGGAAAAGCAAAGTGGGATTTTCTATGTACTAGAATATAATTAACAGTAAAAGTGAATGAAGTCCTGATACACGGTACAACACAGACAGACCTACCTTGAAAATGTTATGCTAAGTGAAAGACAGCAGACACAAAGGACACACATACTGAATGATTCTATTTATATGAAATGTTTAGAATCAGTGAATCCATTGGCTCACAAAGTAGATTAACGGTTGACTAGGTAAGATTTGGGAAATTGGAAGGAAAGAGTGATTGCTAATTAGTAGGTTTCTGTTTGGGGTAAAAAAAATGTTCTAAATTTATTGTGGTGGAGGTTGCACAGCTCTGGGAATATAGTAAAGATGACTGAATTGTACCTTTTAAATAGGTAAATTATGTTGTATGTAAGTTATATCTAAATAAAGCCATTATAGAAACACAGACACATGAAACATCTTTCAAGTGACACAGACTCCACTAACGCCTGACCCCTCATTCTCCAGCTGGGGTAGGTGGAGAGATCCAGATTCCATGCTGCCTTTTCCATAGATTGCTGCCATACTATCTCACCAGTCAAACAACCAGGACACAGACTATTACAAAGTATTTTCCCCAATGTGTGCATATTTGTATGCATAACTTCACTGAACAATAAAGTTTCACTTACTTAGGGTGACCATGCATGAGCCAACTAAAGGGTAAACCAAGACGAAGGCAATTCAGCAGGCTCCTCTGAATTAACTACCAAGGTCTACATTTACCTGAGATGTACTTCGGGAATGGTCAAAGGACTACAGGCGTGTTACTAGTTACACTTAAAGCTCATCAGGTAACGTCAGGGAGAAGACAGGAATGAAAGGTTCCTCAGGAAGCAGAAACTGAAACAGTTACACTGCGCTGACCCAGGAGACAACTTTCGACTAGGAGGGAACAGTAATAAGAGGGGTGAAACTTAAACGGTGTTCTTCAGGGGACCCCTAGGATTCTTCTAGAAATGAAACTTTCCAAGAAGCTTTCTGGGGTCTAGCTGTGCTCCACATCTACCAATTATTGGGGCTCCACATGAGACTTGATCTAGAAAAAAAATGTTTCACGGTTAAAACAGAAATGGTTAGGTTGACCCTAGAGCATAGAAGAGAGTAGCAGAATGTCAGGAATTAGCAGTGCCACCCTGCACAAATCATGGGACCTGCAGAACACTAGCTTTACAGCAATCACAGTGACACTGGGGTGAGTGCTTAGTGGACACAGTCTCACATGATCTCTGCAATGACTCTGTGAGATGTGTCTTATCTTCACATGGAGATGAGAAGGCCTAGGGCAGAGAAGTCTAATAACTTGCCCATGGACACACGTGGAGTAGCAAACGATCTCAGTGGACCTGACTTCAGACCTTGCTCCTTAATTATAGATCATCTGCCTTCTCAAGAAAATCTGGCTTTCTAGGCAGCTGAGCTGATGATATGGTGGACTCAGGAGCTTTGTAGGCACTTTGAAGGGAATGCCACCTAGGCAAATCAATTCTGAAATGCCAACACATGGGTTGGACTCTAGATCCCACCCCCCAGACAATTTCTTTGCTCCCCTACCCTGTTTTCACCCCTGTGAAATTTTTAGACTAAAGGCAGCTGTCCTTCTCTCTGGCTGGGCCATGTCATCTCACTCTTAACCAACGTTTCAGGGTACAATTGACGAGCTATTTAAATCAGTTGAAACAGAAGGATAAAATGGAAACATGCCTTCATAAATAAGAAGGGAAAAGGGGTTGCAGGCAGGGGAGGAGAAGGGAGAAAAAAGAGGAATCAAGATATACCATGTACAGGTACAAATCCCCTGTGACGAATGTGATCATCATGTATATCTACCTAAACTGTACCGATAAATTTAATTTAAATAAATAATCAGTTGTAATAAATTAACAAATAATCTTTCATGAAATGGTTTGAATCTTAAATGGCCTCCAAAGTCCCACATATTAAAGGCTTGGTCCCCAGTCCATGACACTATTGGGAGCTGGTAGAACTTTCAGGAGGTGGCACCCAATGGGAGAAAGTTAGGTCATGGGGAATGTGTGCCTGAAGGATACATGGGATTCTGTGCTCTCCGTCTCTCTGTGTCTGTCTGTCTGTCTGTCTGTCTGTCTGTTTCCCATTCACCATGAAGTGAACAGTTTCCTCCACATGCCCATTTGCAATAATGTTCTGCTTTACAACCTAATTCCAAAAGCAAGAGGGCAGGTGACCATGGACTGAAACCAGGAGCCCAAATAAATCTTTCATCTTTTAAATTTAAAACCACAGATTATTTTGACACAGAGGCAGAAACCTAACCCAATACACAACTCTGTTTTGAATTTAGGGGCTAAGATATGGTCTGACTTAGGTGCTTATATTACAGAGTTACAATGGATGCCCTGTCCTGCTGGTTCACAAAGCGTACAGGTACCGGTATACCACACCAGGCCACACACACCCAAGGGTCTGGTCCACAGTTGACTGGTCTTATCTGTTCTCTGTCTACCCTCCCCCCAGCATAGCGCACACAGCAGGAAGGCAGCCATCAACAAGCCACATGCAGCCTTCACTAGGAACTGAATTGGCCAGCACCATGATCTTGTACTTCCTAGCTTTCAGAAGACCGAAAAATAAAGTTCTATTGTGTCAGCCTCTTGGTCTATGGTATTTTGTCATGGCAGCCTGAGCGGATTAAGACAATGTGTTAATATAAATTCAGATGAGCAGGACTCCAGCCAGTCAGGAAAGAGACTGAACAATCAACTCACAGAGCACCACTGGACACACTTTGAGATAGGGATAATGGGCAGGGGAAATAGGGAACACAGGAATCTTATACAAAGGAGATTGCCAAGTCCCTCTGCACCCCTTCCTGCTTTCGTTCAGCAGCCACTCTACAGTCAGAAGTATTTGGCAAGCAACACAGTAGGATCCACAATGCTATTCTCCCTGCTCCCTATCCTATGCCATTCTAGACGCTGTTTTTCATTAAGGTTTTAGTCCTACATGGTGATTTATTTCTGGCAGGAAAGGACCGCAATTGGCTGGCTGGTTGACATCAAACATATTGGCACTGGGATAATTAGGATGACAATAGGAACTGAATTCTGGGTTGTGGAGGCTGAAGACAAGATGGAAGATTACATTCTCTTGGGACACTCCAGGAACATGTCCCCAGCAGACAGTACCAAACAGCCTGCTTGTTCTCCGGCAGTCTCAGGAGAGGCCAGATGGATAAAGAACAGCAGCATGCTCTTAACGTGCAGCGGACGCTCCTGGCCTCCGCTGTGTCCTCAGGCCTGGCTAGGCCAGGATGTTCAGAGTTCCCAGCTGCTGCCAAATGAGGAGCGGTATGAGCCAGCATATCCTCCGGCCCTGGGGACTGCTCTGCAGGAAGGCCATCATCAGTCACAGTGAGGCTGCAGGTCAGGACTACAGCAAGGGTAGAGCTGAGATGCGAGATGTGTGGAAACTCGGTCTGACACCCTGTCCAGTCCTGGGGACCCAGCGCACCATGATTCCTCCAGTCCAGGTGGACTTAATGTGCCCTCTTTGTGCCCAAGAATCCAGAAGCCTTTTGCAGTTACAGGGAACCTTTCTCCCCACAAGCCCTAAGCTCTAGAATCTCTGCCCTCTTCTCTCTGACGCTCATCCCAAGGGAATGCAAGCCTCTTGACTGCCCATCTGAACCCGAAGCCCCTCCCCTATTCCTGTCCCAAGACTGTGTCCCTGCTGGACAGGATACCTCCCCCAGGCTGGAAGGCCTGGTTCTGTCCACTGCAATATTCTCTGGCTGAGCCCTAATGCATAGGGTCAGTGATTACTCAGGGTATAGTGGGGTCCATGGCCACTGCCCTCTTGAAGGAGTCTGAAGGGAGGATCCCAATTGATCATCTGGGACTGTCTCAGGGCCACTTGCTGACTTCTAATCACCTTTTGGGCTGCAGTATCCCTACAGTGAGGGCCAGAACTGGCCAATGCACCCTTCCTATGCCTGTGTTGACATCCCATTTCCCT